TGATTTAATCATTGTTATTGTTGTTATTATTGTTGTTGTTGTGATGTATATATAGATATATATATATATAGGTATGTATATATATTTATATAGATATGTATGTATATATATGTATGTAATTGATACGATGCGCCATCATCATCTTCACCATCTTCATCATCAGGTATATGATGGCCATCATCAGTGTTACTTCGACTTTGTTTTTATTCTTATTATGTTATTATTATTATTTGTTGTTATTCTTATTATTTTCAATAATACTCGTTACATCTTCAACAAAAAACAGACAGACACACATACACAGACAGACACACACATACACACACACAATTACAAACAGCCTGTCAAAATTGGAGATACAATATTAGAATATGATCGTTCCAATTGAAAATACCCGATCGATCATTCTTTATTGATGGCTAATCGCTATGGTATTTGCCACATGTTTGTATGTATAAAATTGGTTATACTATCTACACTGTATATATTCATATTATCATTAATGTTCTATTTATCTTATATATATTGATAATATATATATATATATATATATATGTATAAAACAAACACATGTATGTATATATATATATATACATACACACAATTTCATGGGACACTTTAGCAAATTATAAATAACCTTCTTCACCAATTTTGTTTTTTTGGTTACATTTTTTTTCAACCAATCTAGTCTACGTTAACGTTCGTTCAATCAGTCAATCAATCGTTTGTTTGCTCGTCCATCCATCCATTCATTCATTCACTCCATCATTTTTATTTCTTCATTTTCTCATCTGCATGCATTAGGAGCAAATCGTTTGCCTCCATGATCAGCTGATTGTTTGGATAAATTAGTTGATTGATTGAATTTGATTGATCTTTTGAATTATTCGATTGACTGACTGACTGATAGAATGGTTGGTTTATAGACTGAAAAATGATTTGACTGAAAAATGATTTAATCTAGACACACACACACACACACACACACACACACACACGTTTATAATGTGGCACACACTGTATATGCATGTTTGTTCGGAAGACGTACAAAGAAATTTTACAAGGAAATTACACGCATTAAACACTATTTGTATAATAATATTGAATAATTATACTGTTAATTATAAATAGTAATAAAAAATATTAAATTCTTTTCCATATCTTTCATGCTGCTTTAATGTTTCTTTTCGTTTTTGGACAAAATAAAACCCAAAAAAGTCATCCGTTACATACTTTACTCTCCGCGATTTTTATTTATTTATTGAAATAAAATCATAAAAATAAATTGACGGTAATAATAACAACAATAATAATAATAAATAATATAATAATAATAAATAACATAATAATGAATGATATTATAATAATAATAATCAGGATCGCCTGGTGTTATTCAGTTGTTTCTCTGTCAGCCATTTCTCCATCGTTTTGACTTCGTTCAAGTCGTCTTTGATGATTTGGATGAGATGACTGATGCCGTTCTGCTGGTTTCTCAGGTGCTGCGTTCGTGATGATGGTCATGTTGTGGTTGTGGTCGTTGTGGTTGTTGTGGTTGTCGTTATTTTTCGTTATATATTCATGAATGTGTCAGTTGACAGGCTCAACTAATAATTAATAAATAAATAAATCTACCTAACTACCTACCAATCAGTCAATATATCTATCTATCTATGTATCAACTATAGACAGTCAATTATTCCTCAAATCAATCAATCTTCCTCAAATCAATCAATCTTCCTCAAATCAATCGATCCGATGCCGGGCAATCAGCAACAAGCAAGCAAGCAAGCGAGCAGCGGACCTGTTTGATATCAGCCCTCACTTCTTCGCTAATGTTAAACTTGACATCGCCGCCGTGGGTCGCCTGCTTCATGTTCTGCAGCTCTATGTGTGAGGCGAGTTCTCGGAGGCGCGCCTTGAACAATAAAATTATCATAATTACATTATAATTAGGTACGGTTCAAAGGTCATAGTGTAGTATACGTATTAATAAATCCTTATTAGACAAAAATCAACTATAAGTACTTGTAAATATGTCACAGAGAGTTAGCCAATTAGAGCTAACTTTAAATATTGTAAAATAAAATCATTTACATGTGATATAGAATTAACATGTGAGTAGATCGAGACGGACAGCCAATCAGAGTTAACCTTAAATTGGGTCGGGGCATTGAGTTCGGCGGATATGCTCTGCAGTTGGGCACTCAATAATTCTTCTTCTGGCTGTATGGGGTAGCCTAGTTTGCGGTTTATTTCCTGTTGAACTATGACCTGTGTGACGTCATTTGGTGATGCCATGATGGCGCTATATAGATTAGTTCCACATCGTCAAGAAAACCATCACCACCATCAAAGACCATCATCATCACCATAACCACCACCACCATCATCACCTTAAGTACTCTGTGGTTCAGCTGCACCTGCCTTCGTTTGTACTCATCGACCTTCGCCACCATGTTCACCATCTTGCTTTTTAACGAGGAAATGTCTGACCCGATGACCTAGCAACAACAACAGCAATAATAATAATACTAATAATACTACTACTAATAATAATAATAAAAATCACAATAATAATAATACAACAAGCCGAAAATATCAGCTACCACAATTACTACTAAAATTACAGTTACTACTAGCGCTATTACTACTACCACAACCACCACCGACATCCAATCGTAGCTGATGTAACTGCGACTGTTGATCCTGGTGCTTCAACCTCAGGTGCAGCTCTGAAAATCCGACGATAGGAACCGGAAGTAACTTTTCCAGGTTGGGATTGTCCAGTTTTGCCTGCTCCCAGATGTGCGGATCTATCCCTAGATTCAGGATAGATGAATAGACGGATGGATGGATGGATGAATGAATGAATAAATGGATGGATAGATAGATGGATCGTGTAGATGGGGAGATTGTATAGATGGATGAATGTTTAGATTGCATGGATGGATGGGAATAAAACTGGAAAAAATGACAAAAGAATGTAGAAAGAACGATTGACACACACACACGCATACACACAGACACAAACCAGCGGGGGGATTTTCCAGATAGAACTTCAGCTGGTCATGTGACATGGCCACCTTGACGTAAACGTCGGATACGGACAGCTGTGAAGATAGATGCTGCTTGCTGGACTGCTGATTGAGGAAGGCAAAGAGGTCAGAGGTCAAGACCCTGGTAGTAATTCCCGTTATCTGCCTGTCCTGAACATATATGACCATCTCGCACCTGGTGATGATGATGAGAACGATAGCAACGACAATAAAAAAATGATGACGATAATAGGAATTGATTAATTTTTTACACATTCACTTGGCATACTTACTTATCATCAGCCAATGGCGTTATCGATTCTACGCAAACAATGTGATTGGCTTTTGCTCCTAATAACTTATGCAGGGCATCAACAACCTGCATCTGATTGGCTAAAACCTCTTGTTGGCCGCGCCCAAAAACGAGATAAACGAGGCCGTCTTCGTTCTTATTGGTCGGTATGCAGCTGTAGCCAACGGCCTGGATGGTTTTAATTTGATAGACATTAAAAAGGTTCTAATTAAATTAAGAAACGATCGGAAAAAAAAAACCTTAAATAGTGAGTAAACATTGTCAGGAGTGAACACAACAAAATCTCCCTGCTGGTTGTAATAGCCCTTTCCTGCCCCCCAGCAAGCTTGCAGTTGGTTGAACTTCGCAACCACCAAGTCACGCTCGTCTCCGAAAATTGTCGGATTGCAAACTGCCAACTTCAGTGCCAAACTCAGCTGCTGTTGTTGCTGCTGCTGTTGCTGCTGTTGTTGAGCTGGATGAAAAGTTTAAAGGGATGTTATATAAAAAGCAAAAATACGAACACACAAAATGAAAAACTAACATGACTGGTTCAATGTACTAGTGGTACTAGAAAACAAATTTCCACCCAGCGCTGTAGTACTCCCTCCCAACCCTGTGCTAGCCCCAAATCCTGTGGCAGTCCCTCCGAAACCTGTGGTACCCCCTCCAAATCCAGTGCCAGTCCCTCCAAAACCTGTGGTAGTCCCCCCAAAACCGGTGTTAGTCCCTCCGAATCCTGTGCCAGTCCCTCCGAATCCCGTGGCAGTCCCTCCCAATCCCACGGCAGTTCCTCCCAACCCTGTAAGACCCCCTCCAAATCCTGCAGCACCCCCTCCTAGCCCAGTCTTAAATCCGTTACCTCCAAAAATAGAACTTTGTGTGGTAGTTGTTGGTGTTGAGGAGGCAGAGTTTGAAAAGAAGCCCTTACCAAAAAATGGAGCTACCCCTGTTGTATTTGTAACTGCTGCAGCTGCTTGGAGACCTGGAGTAGGTTAAGGTCAGTTTGTTTAATTAGCATCTCTAATTATTTTAAGTTGAATTTAGATAACTTTTAAAAAATAAATATTAATTAAGTTAGACTAATATTTTTCTTTCTATCTGTCTGTCTATCTATCTGTTTGTTTATCTATCTGTCTGTCTGTCTGTTTCTCTATCTATCTGTCTGTCTATCTATCCATCCATCTATCCCCTAAAATGATATAAAATGGACAAATAACGATACAGCAATGTAAAAGGTTTAGCAAGCAGATAAGACACTGAGAAAATTCGAATAAAATTTGTGAAAAAATTAACTAAATAAATAAATAGCTAAATAAACAAATTAATTATTAAATAAACAAATAAGTGAAACCAAACTTGATTTATAAGCAAGTTGAAATAATATAAATTTGTATACAAACAGCATGCAATAAGGTTCTGATAAGATACATACATACACACACACACACACACACACACACACACACACACACACACACACACACACACACACACACACACACACACACACACACACACACACACACACACACACACACACACACACACATATATATATATATATATATATATATATATATATTTACTGGCTTAAGCTATACAATACTATTACTAACAATATTAAAAGTAAAATTAATAATAGCAACATTATTATTATTATTATTATTATTATTATTATTATTAACAACATTATTATTATTAATATTATTATTATTTACTACTCAAAAGGTATTTTGTATATTCAATTTCATCTTCAGTGAACAGTTTCAAATCTGATCCTGCCAATTCCAATTCCCCATTAAAACCTTGCAATTTATTTTTAAAGATTAAATAAATAAATAAATAAATGGAGTAAATTATAAAATATAACATTAGAGCCTGCTTTTTCAATTTTTACAAAACGTTCCATCAAAATTCATTAAGAAGATTCTACTTGCAATGTCTTTTTTTAGAGAAATTGATTTGAATGAAATTTTCAAGGAAAAAAAATTGAAAATTCGTTTTCGATCATTAATGAAAATTAAGATAAAAGTTTTTTTTATTTAAAATGAGAAAAATTTGAAAAAAAAATTCTATCAACCCTGACATGCATCGGCTGCCATTCTATTGTAACTTGATGCTTGTTCACTCCTGTTGAATTACCTTACCTCTATCTTGTTTGTAACTCAGTTTTATCACTATTTAATTGTTTTCCTTTAAATTTTCAATCTAGTTTTTTTTTAAATTAAAAAAGAATTCATTTTAAGAAGTGAAGTTGCCCATCAAAGTTTTGGTTTTCATCATCATCAACATTTTTTTTTATAAAAAATATTACTTTAAACTGAAACAAATGTTAGTGCCACGAAATAATAAAGTCATGTTAAATAAATAATGGAAATATGTAAGAGCTAAAAATATGTAAGCCATTTATAAAACTTTTAAGAGAAACAAGCCAGTCAAACAAAATAATAAAAAACACGACAGCAGAATGAAAAAATAAAGACTAAACACGAATATAAAGCAACAAATAAATCAATAATTAAAATAAATTGTAAAAAAAACTCAAAAAACATGAACTACCAAAACCAGTTGATTGAGCAGTAGTGGTCGTAGAAGTTAGCCCAAACCCACCAAAAAGCCCAGTAGCAGATGTTGCAGACGAAGCTCCAAAGCCAAATCCTGTGTGTAAATAGCATTACATTTGTATGTATATTCATGTATATGTTTATATATACATTATTGATGAAAATCACAGCAAAAATTATATATATATATATATATATCTGTGTGTGTGTGTGTTTGTGTATATGTATTTGTGAATGTGTGTGTGTGTGTGTGAATATGTATACATATGATTCCAAAAACATGCTTTTTATTGGAAGAGTTGGAAGAGTTTGTTACCAATTTCATTAGTTTTATCCTAAATGTATTACTTGCCTCTATAGATGTTTTGATTTGATAAAAATAATTTATCTATCTGGGTGATATAAAAATATAATAATTATATAATACATAATTGTAGGCACACCCAACATAAGCTAGTATAATTGCATTACAATTGTTATATATATATATATATATATATATATATATATATATATATATATATATATATATATATATGACACACACACAGATATATATATATAATAGATAAGGACTGTCAGAAATATATATATATATATATATATATATATATATATATCGTATAACTAACTAGTTGCAATCATAACTAGTTGCAATTGTAATTATAACAAACCTTGGCCATAAGTTTTAATCATTTCCATGTATATTTAAATTTATAATATTAGTGTATATAACTAACTATAATATGATTATATTACACTGGTTACTTTGATTAGATAGATTTATTTCATTTACATCACATTATAAATAAATAGTTATTACATCACATAAATAGTTAAGTTAGTAATGAGCTGGGTTTCACTTCATACCAGGATGCAAACAAAAACATCATAAAATTAATTTCTCTTCTAGTTAGTTTTAGATTCATTACATTATATTAGTTAGAAATTAGAATGAAAGAGAGAGTTTATGGCAGGATGAGAAGATACTTTATAAATTATTTTAGCTCTAAGATTTTAAAGATTTAGAAAAATATTTTTATTAATTTTAATTTTAAGTCTTTTCTATAAATATAAATTAAAATAAATCTTTTAATGATGGAATAAAAGTTTGTACGCTCAAAAATTTGATGCTGGGACTTTGATTATTGATAAATCAACAATTTGGTCTATCCCTGATTTTATATTCAGTATATTTATACATACAAACATAGACACCTTCCCCAGCCTAACTACTGGCCATGCCGCTATTAATTATAAAATTAAAAACAGATCGCAAATAAGAATTTTTGTAAAAAATTATAAACCGACTGACCTGAAGCAGTCATCTTTCTTTTAAAAAATTTAAACAAAAATTAAAAAATTAATTCAGTCTTTTCGAGAAGTTAAATTGAAGTTTAATAACAATTTTACAAAATTTTGAAAAGTCGGAGTGTTAAAAGTGAATTTAACTTATACAGAATTTACATTCACACTTTTGTGATATTTGCATAATCTTCTCATCATCTTTCCTACTAAGTTCAGTAATTTTCGATATAGAATGATTTACAAAACGTGCACTATAGTTCAAATTTTTAAAGTGTGTGGGGCTGATATAAAGAATTAAGCTGGTAGTTTGTTACGATATTCATGTAGTACCTATACTAAATTTTCTGAGCATGAAAATATAATTTGGAAATGGTGATCCTGGCATTTTTTATATATCTCGGAATATTTCGGACCTCGGAATCTCGGAATATCTCGGACCTCGGAATCACTGTTGACAAAAGCACGAAAACATCAAGACAATGTACTATGGCAGCAGCCAAGGCAAATCAAATACTTAAAATATTTGATATATAAAATATACAAATCATTATTGAACAGGATAGTATCACGAAATGAAATAAGTTACTTTTAAAAATTTCTCAATTTGATTTTATTGCGATATCAATGATCGATGATGATGATTATGACCTGACTTTGAGTAATTTGTTACGAAATCGTTAGAGGAAATGGCGTTAACAGTAGGTAGTTATTTAACCGCACGGTGGTGAATTACCCGGTCTATAAAGGTTGTGTTCAATTCAAATCTCAAAAGTGTGATCTCAAATTATTTTGAATTCTCCCTAAAAATTCCCAATATAGGTAAGTTAGGAAAGGCGCTGAGCCAATTGAACATAGGAAAGTTAGAGACTGAGCTAAGCCAACTGAAAATAGGTAAGTTAGAGACTGAGCTGAGCCAATTGAACATGGGTAAGTTAGGAACTTAGTTGATATACTCAAGTTTTACAATTGATGTTAAGTAAGGTGTGGTCTCAATTGAATATAGGTAAGTTACGAACTGAACCGAGTCAATTGAACATAGGTAAGTTAAGAATTGAACTGAGTAATATTGAATAAAATGTTTGTTTACGTTTTAGCAAAACTTGCATAAATTTTTTTTTGTTTTCTTTTTCGTTTCGATATTGACGTCATAGTAATCTATCTATATGTCAGTAATTTGCAATCATCAACGTCATCATCACGGTCATCATCATCATCATCATCGTTTTTATCGCAGTCTTTATCTTCTTCTTTTTCCATTATTCATTATTCGTGTCAAAAAAATTTTTTTGTTCACCAGCACATTTATTTTTTTGAATTGAAAATCTTGTCGTTTCTTTAGAAATTTCTTTTGCAATCCTTTATGGTATTTCGTTCGTTCGTTCGTTTGTTCGTTCATTTGTTCATTTATTCGTTCGTTCATATGTTGGTTCGTTCATTCGTTTTAAAATATACAACACACATACATGACCACCTACACAAACCACAAACACAAACCACAAACACATATACATATCCACACACACACACACACACACACACACACACACACACACACACACACACACACACACACACGTACGTACATACATACATTCAAACATACATACATACATACAGAATTCCCAAATACCTTAATGTATACAATTAAGAAAAACTAATCGATAAGAAGCGAAAGAGCGCACGCATATTTCTTAGTAACATTATTTTTTGGAATCATTATTATTATTATTATTATTATTATTATTATCATGAGAAAGAATTTCTTCAAATTTTTATTATATATATATATTTATCGTTATGGTACAATTGTATGAAGTAGGCACATTACATTGGTCTGCCTTTTTAATTACTTTCTACATTCATACACTCATTTTTATGAAGCAAAATGAGAAAAATTGAAGAAAAAAACAGAAAAATTGAAAAACAGAAAGATAGAAAGAGAGAGAGAGAGAGCGAGGAAGAGATAGAGAAAGAGAGAAAAAGAGAGAATGAACAAAAAACATATACAAACACGATGTGACACATACACAGACATACAAAAACATTTTAAGGATGATGTATAATACACTATGCATACTCATTCAAGCAGTTCTTTGAAAAAAATACTTTTTATTAAAACAATTAGCATATTAGCAACTTAATGAGAAAAATACATAACTTATCTTTTTAAACTGAGATGATTTATACAATACTTTGTATCAGGTATGTTGTCTGAATACCGTATTTGCGAATGTTACGTACCATGGGGGTTTCGTTGCTTCAAATTTTTGCTTACATTATTTCATATTTCATCATTTCATTTTTGGTCATATTGTAACCTGTGAATCAGAGAATCGGTGATACAGATAAGAACCACATAATAATATTAAAAATAATAGTTAATATTATTTTTATTGTTGTTGATGTTGTTGTTGAGGTTGTTGTTGTTGTTGTTGTTGTTGTTGTCTTTCAGAATTTTCTTCCTCGCTTTGAATGCAAAGGCGTACCCTTTTTGCGATAGAAACAGATGAACAAGAGAATATCATTTCAAAATTATGTATGTATGTATGTATGTATGTATGTATGTATGTATGTATGTATGTATGTATGTATGTATGTATGTATGTATGTATGTATGTATGTATGTATGTATGTATGTATGTATGCATACGTGCGCGTATGACAATCTTTGTTCGCTTCAATATATTATTGGATGAATGCATTTTATTATACGCAAACAACTCAAAGACACAAACATACAAACCCACAAACATACATACAAACATACATACAAACAAACATACATACATACAAACACACATACATATTCTTTAGAAATAATTAGTAATTACGTGTGCGATACTTTTTTTTCTCTTCTTAATCGTTTGCCGATAATCAGGTAGAATGTAGTAGTAGTAGTAGTAGTAGTAGTAGTAGTAGCAGCAGCAGCAATAGTAGTAGTAGCAGCAGCAGTAGTAGTAGTAGTAGCAGCAGTAATAGTAGTAGTAGTAGTAGTAGCAGTAGTAGTAGCAGCAACAATAGTAGTAGTAGCAGTAGCAGTAGTAGTAGTAGTATTTTTTTGTGTGTTTTTGCTTGAACCTTTTTTCCAATTACACTTTCTACGCTCGTTTATTTGTTGGTCGCACAAATTTCTACTGATAACAATAACGTCAAAGTAACAATAATAATAATAACAATAATAAAAAATAACAACAATAATAATAACTTTTGTTATTGTTGTTTTAGAAAGCAGTATCTATTACCCAACAACGCTTTTCTTGCTATAACATAAGCTTGAACATTCACAAAAAAGTAATAATAATAATAATAATAATAATAATAATAATAATAATGGTGATAATAATCATGATGATGATGACGATGATGATGAGCTTGCAAGCAGCGTTTGAAAGACAAACACTAATATAAATTAAACCATGACAATAATAATTATAATGATAATAAAAATAATAATATCATCATTATTATTGTTGTTGGTTTTGTTATTGTTATTATGATTATTATCGTTGTTGTCTATCTTGAAGAAAAAAAAATCCTCATTAATTATATTCGGTATTCTTCTGACGATCTGACGAGAAAGTATGTCGAATCGGAAAATAGGTCGTCATCTTGTTGTTTGTCACGTGACTTTTTCTTCAGCCAATCGCGTAGGAGTCCTGTCTCCGTTTCCACCGGAAGTTGATAGGAATAATAAGAATCGGGCGTTTGTGATGGTTGTTGTTGTTGTTGTTGTTGTTGATGGCAATGATGATCGTTTTCTATTTGTTGATATTTATGCTGATGATTACGATGACGATGATGTTGATGGTGATGATAATGGGTGTATATATTTTGAATAGATGAAGATGATAATGATGATGTTGTTGCTGCTGCCGTTTTGGCCAAAACTTTTTCCTCGTCTTTTAGTCCGTTCTTCAAATTGTTGTAAGAAGTTCTGTGTGGATGATCATGATGATGATGGTGACGATGATGACGATATTACTGATAATGATAACCTATCATATTTAAACATTAATCTAATTTGAATCAACCTTCTATTTGGGCCAGTGTGACCTAGTTTTTTCTGATTGGGTAGGGTAAAGTAATAATCGTCCGTGATTGGACAAGAATCATGCCTTGTTTTGAAAGGCTTTTTGTTGTTGTAGTTGTTGTTGATGATGTTGTTGTTGATGTTGTTGCTGTTGTTGTTGTGTAGCTTGTTTAGTGTTGTTGTCGTGTTATATATTTTGTTATCTCTAACGAAGACAATCACTGATTTATTGATATTTTTGTTGTCGTTGTTGTTGCTGTTGTTGATGTTGTTGTTGTTGTTGTTGCAACATGTTGATATCTGCAATACAAAGAGTAAGAAATGAATTTGTTTTAAAAAGATTTGCCTTCAATAACCGTGCTGAAAGTTGTTTTAAAAGTTTTGCGAATGACAATATTCAATCTTCTTCATCATCGTCATCATCTTCTTCATCATCATCTTCTTTTTCTTCATCATCGTCGTCATCATCATCTTCCTCATCATCGTTATCATCATCGTCGTCGTCGTCATCATCACTATCAATTCTCATAACAAGATTCGAAGAAAGTTAAATACATTATACCAACAGACATGAATACGTGTGTGTGTAAGCCAATTATGAATAAATAAATATTTATATATATATATTTTTGTTTTTTCATCGGTCTATCCGTTTATTCATTCATTCGTTCGTTTGTTTGTTTGTTTGTTCGTTCGTTCATTCATTCATTCATTCATTCATTCTTCCAGCCATCCACTAATATTTTTTTATTCTAAATAAAAATGACGTTAATAATAAAGACATAATTATTATTGAGGATGATGAATAAAAATTCACTCATTTTTTTCTCTCTTTTTCTCCGTCTTTTTCACTCTTTCTCTCTCTCTCCTTCTCTCTCCCAAGTCAAGTTGGCCGTTGAGAAATTAGGAGGAGGTAAACAAAAATTAGGAGGGAATCGTAAAATGCGGAAATATATTTTCTTGTAAAGAAGATCATAAATGTTTGGCTGCCGCCATTTTTAAAATGCTAGTTCATCACATTAGGAATTGTCAAATGAAATATTTATTATCTTTTTTCATTTTTTTTGTCTTTGTATGTCCTGTTACTGTAT